CGAGTGCCCATTAAGCACACTAACTCAGCGTGGTTGAGAAGAAAAGGGATAGCTGTCATTTTACAGCCCTTTAGATGAAGAAAGGGGAAAGGCTGCCTTAATTTTATTCTTGTCACGAAGGGGGTGCATAGTTCTGCAGCGGCCACAATAAATATTATTAACGTAGAATTAGATAATTATTGACAGGCAGTATTCGCCTTTTAGGAGGGAGTTAAATTCTAATAGTGCCTTTTGATCATTATTTCTCGTTCTGTTTTCAACGGTATAAAATCATAAAGCGTGCTGTTGAGTGCAGAGACATTCTTTTAACATATTTAAGATGGATATGATCTAGAAGTCAATTGGAGAAACCTATCAAACCGTGCTATCAAAGGCAAAGGTACATGGTGTACCTTTTGTACGTACATTTTCAAGAAAGCTGCTCGGTTTTTAATCTGATATATATTGAAAAATTAACCAACTCTATAGTTTATACCGTCAGAAAACTAATAATACGTTTTTTGAAAAGATCTAAAATATGGATATATTGCAGAAAAATGATCGTAACAACTTATATAACCAACGACAAATGGAAAACAAGAGATAAGGGCTTCACGAGTATAACCGAGGGAATACATAAGCATTTGGAGCTGGAAGAGTAGATTTTCGTGACAAGCTGTTTCTGTCCTCAAATTACCTGAAAATTATACCAAACAACTCATGGAGATTCCAGACCCAAAAAGCAAACTGTTGTAAAAATCTGTAAAAGCTATTTCAGTTTTAAAACGAGCAATTTTTTATTTATTTATTTATTTATTTATTTATTTACTTATTACAATTTAATGGCGAAGATAACATGGAAAATACAAGCAATAAAAGAATAAAATAGTCACAAGGATGGTCAGCAAAAGAGACAAAGTCCCCATACTAGGCAGACCACCTGATTAAAGCAAAAAAGAGGGGAAAAAAAATTAAGACTTCGTTGATAACGAAGGGAGGTTTACATTTCGTATTTATGTTAACATGTATATAAATGTTTTCTTGAAAACAACGAAGGATGAAAGCAAGTTTCTTGACAAACAATTCGATCTAAATTCCATTGAGACATGCTGTGCTTTTGGTCGCAGGGCCAGCTATCTATGCTCACTCTTTCGACCCGATCTTGAAGCTGCTTTGTCCGTGATCAACGTTCCTCCCTTTCTCCCTCCCTCCCCCCGTCCACTCCGGCCACCCCCATACCTCGAGTAGTCTTGCAATCTCCCCAGACTCCGCTGGGTAAAAACATCGTCGAAAAACTTGCCAGCATTATCAAAAAGACGTAAAACTGGACGTAATGGCTGCCGATCAGGCTAATTTTTCGCGCTCTTATTGCTATTTTACGAAGTTCAAATGAGGTACGTTTCGTGAACTGGAAAAGGTGGAGGTACTATTAGTGGATTTATATTTATCGTCTACATTTCTTTGAGGGTGAAATCACGTCCACGTATACAGTATCTCGCTCTGTTATGCAGCATAAAGCACTAGTAGTCCAAAATCGCGAGTCAGCCCTCAGGGGTCGGTTTCTATGCTGATTAAGCGTGAGGACTAAGTTTCTCAGTGATCCGCCGGCGAGAGGCGACAAGTACACCACCCCTTTCCCCTCAACCCCCTACCCCCAGCGCTTCCAAGAAGACATAATTAGGGATCTAGAGCTTTTAACAGTCTCAATTGAATTTGGAAATTGACCTGCTTTCTTAGCTTGGCCGTCATTCGGCATCAGGAGAAGGAAGAGCTAGTTGAGTCGGTTGAGCAGGTTTCATGTACCCGCAAAGGATAGAGCACACAACAGACCCAGCAGGAATACATTTGGGACCTAAACGGCCCTCTTGGGATTGGCCATCATGTAGCCTAGTGTAGCCGTACCCATCCCCTGAGGAAAAACGTTTTTCCTCAGGGGGGGGGGGTGGGTACGGCTACACGTAGGCTAGCCGTCATGAAGCGTCAGGTGAAGAACTCGTTGAGTCGGCAGAGGGTAGGGTAGTAACGTTGTCCATGGAGGCTTTCACGGGGACGATTCCATCTAGGATCTCCCCTGGGGTTGCAGCGCTGGCTGCAGCGCTGGCTCCATGGAAGTGTTCCCTTTCAAGTTCTTCCATTGGGAGATAAAACCATGGTTAATAGAGGGAAATGGTTATGAAACCTGGCAAAGTTCTTTGTTGTCTGTTTTTGTTGGCTGTTTTAAGGGCTGGGTCTGCGAAAAAAACTGGCAAAATACAAAAGTTGGTTGTGTGTGCTTGTGCAACCAACCAATGGAAACATTGCAAGCATGTAATTCATGCATAGTCAATGAGCAAAACACAAAATATGTGCAGGATCAAGGACCTTCCAACATAAAACTTTGCCTGTTTGTTTGCTTCTTAGATCTTAACCATTTCCTCTCTTAACTATGATAAAACCTTGATGAAAATGATCCAATCAATCGGAGTAAACTTGCTGTTTTTCAAACAGTTTGGAATAAACAAGTCAAATCGTGATTTCCCAATCGCGCGTTTTTCCGCTCTTGGCGTCTGTTACGTGTCTTACTAATAGTCTATGTAAACGATAGAGTGTTTCTGTCGAGCAACTATTGGCTGATAGTTGCCCGCGGAAATTTGATGTTCTTAAAACTAGCATATTTGCCCTGGAAGCTTCGCTTAATTCTCGGGCAAATATTAGTTTTAAGAACATCAAATTTCCAAGGGCAACTATCAGACCGATAGTTTCGAGACATCAACACTTCACTGTCTTTATTGTTCACCACTAAATTTCTTCCGCGCGACACTTCAAAAATCATATTGAACAAGAAGATCTGTTAGATCTTAGCACTACAGTCGCAATGCAGTGTACATTCCAAAACAGTCCTGGATGATTCATTGATTACTGTAGACACCACATCACTCGATCAACACAAACTGTATTATTGCACCATCAGTCGTAGCTATTGTGAAATCTCCGATGACGTAAGCTTAATCTGGAACTTTCTTCAGGATACGTATGGGCATGAGGATACGACCAATATTAACAACAGCTTTCTGTCTTAAAAGTCAGGATTAAATTTAGTTGTTCTTTTTTCCTTGAGTAAAGGGCTAGCAAAGAAGTCGCACGAGTCAAATAATTCAACAATTACGTTATCCACGGCTATCTTTAGTATGGTGGTTATTTCCCTACCCATGACGTAATCCTTGCACGTTCTGACACGTTCTTCGCTTGGCTGGCAAATAGTTAATTTTCCGTGCGATCTCTGAACTCGTTTCAATAAAACAGCGCGACAATTCACTTCTCTTGTCTAAAAATACGAAAAATACTCGGAAAATTACAGTTAGATCAATGTTTATCGCTCCTGGCGAAATAAAAGTTTCAAACAAGCACGATATTAATCAACACGCTGCCCAAGAGAAAGTTGCAACGTCGACACATTCCATGAATGATGCAATTGCTTTTTTATGTATTCAATACTCGCTTCAAATCAAGCGCGTCAATAACATAAAAAGGCGATATATTCTTTACTAAATAAAAAGTGGAATATTCATAAAATTTGCAGTACAGTAATGTTTTAACAGCTTTTGGCGAACAAAGATCATAAGTTGCGTTATTCGAGATTTGGGCGGGCGGAGGTCTGAGTCTGGTCACCAACAAAACAAAAATAAGCCCCGGGTAGAACATGAACCGCGCTCGGCCCATGGCCGCGCGGTTAATTATTTTCAACTCTTTTTTTTTAGATGAAAGCCGTTAAAGCCAAGTATAAAATTTGAAAACCCCACTTATGTTGTCTATTTTTTATAAGCCCGCTTGTTTACAAAAAAATGCTCATGGACGAGTACTATCCATACGGGTAATTTCCTCGGAGGGGCATTATGAGCTGATAACGAACATTATCGCCTCACGTGATCAATTTAAACCAATAGAAATCGGAGAAAATTTAGTGGTGAACTATAAGACTGGAGAATGCAGAGTGAATGCGAATTCCATATTAAACAATTTGCATAAATTGCATTAAATTAGAAATTTTGACTACAATACTATAAAGATATCAGATAAGATGTGTTACTGAGCAGAATGTGAAGGATTCAGACGCCCTGAGATATGCACCCGCGTTTTAAGTTTTCCACATATTGGGTCGTGTCAACATTTGCAGAAAACCGTGTAAACGTGTAAACGTGTAAACATGTTCTCCGTGTTTCTATCGAGTTATAGAAACACTCGTGAAAGTTTGGGAGAACTCGAAAAAGCTGTGGAAACACTAGCCTGCGGCTCGTGTTCCCACAGCATTTCTCGTTCTCCCAAACTTCCACTCGTGTTTCCATAACTCGATAGAAACATGGTACATGTTTTCTATTTCTTAATTGTGGTTGCCTTCACTTTCAAAATGGCGCAGTGTACGGGCGCAGTTTCACCGGGAGAAGTCGTAAGAAAAGCCTTCCCTGAGTTGTTAAATTATTTGGGGGAGCTCTCTAAAACCTTTGATCAGCGTCGAAATTGCCTCAACATGGAGCTGTCTTTACTATTTATCTCGTCATTCAACCAAGCCAGAAGCATATCACCTCGTCGAGGTGATATGCTTCTGACCAAGCTTATCAAATCTGTGCCAACTAAAGAGAAATTTAAATTCAGAAAAAGGTTTCTTTCTGAGAAACATCTTGCCTGTTGTTTCTTTCCTTGCGTCGGTGTGCGTTTCGTCTGATATGGTCAAACAAAACAGTGATAAAGAGAAACAAATCTCATTTCGATTACCCAGGCAGAGGGAAATTAAATGTTGCCGAGCGTCGGAGCGTCAAAAAAGGCGGGAAAATATATGGTCACCGGTCTCCTGTCATATGATCACCTGGAACTAGTAGGCGGATCAGGGGGTGGCTCCTGGGGTTTAAAAACATTTTCATGCATGCGCACTCATGCAAAACAACATGCTTATTACAAAATGTCATTTTTCAAAATTTCAATGGAAGGCGTCGTTGCTTAAACTCTTGACCTGTCAAGCGACTTATTTCATAATCAACGCCTGAATAATTAGAAAGGATTCTTTAGGCAAAGTCATCTAGAAAGCCACAGCGCCGCACCCCAAATTCCAGCCATCCCGAAATAGACCGAATTCTTTCGTAATGAGTAAGTGATACATTCGTCCGCCTGCTTTATTTCTCTTTCTAAATAACTGCTATCAAGGGGCTTGTTTGCCACGGCAAACACGGTAAACAATCTCATTCAATTTGTAAACACAGAATACATTAAAAATTGAGTCGATTCAAATTTGGTCCACGCACAGCAGTGCACGGGCACGTGATCATGCCGTGTGTGAAGGGATCATGCTGAAGATTCCAACTTGCGTATAAAGGCAGGTGGCAAACAAATCTGCAGGCAGTGGAGCTGTTTGAGAACAGTCTGGAAACAATTGTATCGGTAGTACTAATCAGTTTTGACCTCGAGGGATGAAATTCCACAAGGTGTGATTGCTCCATTTTGTTTATCTTCTTCTGTAAAGCTAATCTACCTTACGAATTGGGTACGTGACGAACACCACACGCAGGAACCTGAGTTGGACCTTTTGTTAAAGTAAAAAAAAACAACTACGTGGACCAAAAGTTAAAAGACAGTTCCTGCGCTTTTCCCCTTCATCGTGAACGAAAACAGAAAGATAACAATGGTATTTAATTAACAGCACAATGGTGGCGACATGCCATATGATTGTGGAGATATTGATTTTGAACTATGTACTCTAACATATCCACTTAATTATGGCTTCAGTCCAAGACCAAGGGTTTCAAGTACTTTCGACATCTCTTCCACCGGGCTTGTCAACCATTGTAGGTCGTGTTAAGTGAGCTGACCTACCTCGCTCTCCAAGCAAGAGTGATGGCGGATAAATTTTACTAAGTTGATCAGTTTAACTTGCCAAGATCATTCCAACAAACCACTGGATTCAGCTGAGGCTTACACAAAACAAAATAAAAACGGAATTTTAAAGGGTCTTTTAGCTGAAATATTTAAATACTTCTGTTCCGGAAGTCCTAAATCTTTCAAGTACTCGAGCTGTGAAAAAACGAACAATAGTGATTATACATGAAGTATACACGATGGAAGAGGCTACAATGGAAATACAAGATCTTTATCTCCAACAATCAAAGTCAGTAAAGCTTTGTGCGCATGTGCCTTCGTGTTCAACGGTACGCGACAAAGACACAAGTTCCCTTTTAAACTTTATGCCAACACTGCAATATAAATGTCACGTTTTGTAGACATTTCGGCGCCTGGCAAATTTTAACACATTGCATTCGATTTCAGCCATGAAACACACCCCAGAATCGTGACCTCCCGCAAATTGCTTTGTGTGGGCTTAGCCTCTCAAACGGGCCAAATACAAGAAATGACATTTTTAGATTTTTCCGGGATGAAACGGTATAATTTCCATTCTCCGGTAAACCGGCAAACTAGAGCACTCTTTTGGAAGCTTTCGTTAATTAGTCCACACACATAAAGTAAACATTCCCACGGATTTCTGGAACAAGGTGTTAATGAGCAGATACAAGACAATCACACAACAGCCTTTGTATGGGTTGAATCTGAGAGAGAGCCATTTTGGCATCTTCTAGAATCCAGGGTGTGATATGCTTTCGGTTTCTAGCTGTTCTTTCGTTTTCGAAAGCAAAAACAAAAAGACCCCTAACGCCTCGGGGCGACATAACCCAATTAGAAGCAAAACAAGCCTATTGTGCGCTCAATTGTCCTCGCTTGCTTTTGTGTCTACAGCTGTCAATCACGTTAACTCTCGTTGGTGAATGACAAGTGATGGCATTTAACACTTTGTTTGCTTTTGCACAGTGACTAATACCATAACAATAACGTCAACATATCGAACTGGTTTTACCGGGTGCAGTTTCAAAACAAAACCTCTTGCCACGGGACACTCACGCAGTTTATAGTACGCCAACCATACTACCGTAAAAATGAAGCAATTCTCGGTTTACTGCGTTCTATTTCTGGTGGTCTTTAACGTTCTGATAAACGGAGCAGTTGTCGTAAACAGGAGTGAGGAAGGTTGGTAATTTTTATACGCAATACGCCTTTACTTCTTTCTCGATTTAACATAAGTCATTTTGTACCGTTTTCAGATTTTGTTTCGAAGCCCGGGAAAGCTCGCCTCACTGAGAGTTCGACATCGGAAACAAAAAGCGAGAAGCCCCCCAAGGTAAAACTCACTCGAAGGGAAAAATGCTGCAATCTAGGGCGAGAAGTGGCCAAAATAGGAGAAACGTGTGATTATACGTCCAATGTGGACCATATTTCTCCCGATAAGCACTTTCACCAAATGAAAACAGCAGTGTGGACCCGTCGTAGCCACCCTATCAACCAGCGTCTGCTTCCAAAGTGTAAACCTTTTAAAGTTTTCTACGAGAAATGCTGTCGCTACGAATACCACCTTATCGAAGCCGATCTTCTCAGAGCCAAGAAAAAGATCAAGCATTACTTGAAGCAAGTCAGGAAGAACGAAGTCGAAGAGGATCAAGGAAGTTCTAACGACGAGGGAGGCCTTCCGGTTGAGCACGGGATCTCTTAGAAGAGACACAAAATTTAGTTCATGGTCCATAGTATACAAAGGTATTCTTATCAAAACTAGAGACACAGCAATCAAAAAGCTGACCTTTTAATTGCGCTCAAGCTGCTGATAATTTTCTTTTTACTTTCTTCGGTATATTGCCCTAATATGTAAACGTCATGTTCAGAAAACGGAAACAACATCAATCTTTACGTTAGTACTGTGACGTAGTTTGAAATAATAACGGGCGGTATTAACGTGGAGGTCCTTTAAGTCCTCGAGGCAATATCAAAGACTGCAGGATTACAAAGAATACTATTTTCTAATGCATCGTCACTGACCTATTTGCCTGTAAATAACTGTTTTCATCGTTAAGGTGGCAATGTATAGTTAAGGTAGCACTGGTACCAATTACCCGGCACCGCTAAAAATAATTAAGCCGGCTTCAATTATATTTTCAGATCAGGGAATTCATTCTCCTAGTTTGCCTGCTTGATTGTATTACAATAAACTAAGGAGAACTTAGTCGTAAATCTGTGAAGAGTACGAAAGAGTTATTACGCGAAGGGAAAGCACATGTCTATACATCCTTTTCCTGTTATTTTTCTTACATTTATACACATTGTGTTGTATTATTTTCCTTGACACAAGTTGTAAATAAAAGACAGACGAATCAGCTGCGTCACGGTCGTTTGACTCGGCAATTTTTCCCACGCTCTTGCAAGTATTTTGTTTGGCATACAAATAAGTGATTAATTTAGCCCTTTTCAAAGGTCAACAATCAACACTGTGTAATGGCAACTCAAAAGAACAGATTAAACACCCGAAGATTCCATTGTTCTTTGACTACTCTAATGCATACGACATCGATACGGGCGAGCATATTAAAGTAATCTCGTGAAAGGGTTCTCACAGAAAACGGCGTAAATGGTGCAAAGTTCCAAACTGTCTGTCATTAGCAGGGAGATAACCCCCTTAATACACCAAGCGACCTTTACTCAGAAAAGTTAACAGAGAATTGCTCTCACTTGCCTCTGGCGTTTTCAAGTTGAAATTCTATTTGCGATGCCGACTTCTAGAATGTTGCAATTAGTTTTGCAAAACGCTCGTCAAATCAGAAGCCAAGTAGATAGAATAATCATCTGTTATGACGAGTTGACTTCCGATGAAATCTGTGCTAATCTCCAAGAGTATAGCATATAGCGTACCATCCGGTTTTCCTTTCACATGCTGGCACGTTTTTAAAATAGCAATACAGCCAAATGGATCCAAAGGGGTGGACAGTTTAAATGCTCTCCTTACCCCATTTCACCTATACTCCCACGCCTTGTTTTTACAAGAGACAGGAATCAGTGATAACACCATCAAACCACAGTAGCCGAAGATTGAACTTTGTGAGCATACAACTGCTTCGAAGCAGAAGATCCTGAAAGGTCAATTTCGTCAACGCTGCGTGCAATTTTGATTCATTAGAAACAAATTTCCAACCGGATGACCACTCACAGAGCTGAGTGGAATTGCTTCATCGAACGTAACGAGGTATAAGTTATTCCTTCGACTGCTTCATACCTAGTCTGATCCTCCAATCAGTTGGGAGCATTAGAGTCACGTGCAAGCCCAACATTTTGCAAAGTTCGTCGATGACTATATTCTCGCTAATAAAAAGCGTATGCGGAAATGTTCTTCGCGCAATGTTTTAAATAACTGGAAATGTCTTCAGGCATGAGCCAATTTCAACAGGACGTCGTATCGTGATGTTTGCATGCCGTGGAGTGTAGAAGATTTGGTTCAGCGTAATTTGTTGCCAGTTATTCGGAGTAAAGTTAAGGCAGGCAAGTCTTCCGTCTTAACTCACTAAAGTGAAATCTCCGCCTTCCTCATTTGCTGTCCGACCAAAACGACAAGTTTTGAGTAAAATGCAAAATAGAAACGTATTCTTGGTGGAAATTACAATTGGGACAGTTACTTTGTGCTTTTAGTTTCTCTTTCTTTCTTTTTTCTTTTTCTTTTTCTTTTACTTTTTTTGCCGTGGAGGTCAGTTCATCGTCTGCCTTGTTGTGAGTAAAGCTAACCCAGGATTAAAAGTTGGAGTATTCATTTTTCTGTATAAAAATGGTTTCACTTCTTATGTTGCTAGTATTTCAAGATTAATCAAGCTCAATCTGAAGGACAAACGATATAAACAGAAAATCTCACCGCAAAGTTGCAAAACTCAAATCAAAATTCTCGTTGATCACTGGGTTTGCTTAATTGGACTTTGAACAACCCGGCTCTGAGCCATTCCGAGGGCTTAAACTACGCTTTCTGCAGGACATTTTATATAAGAACATGGCTGCATTGCAAGCCTCGACTTTTAGGTAAGTAGGGGGTAATTTTCAAATCACACTGCCTCCTACACAACGCGTAACGCTGGTAATATAAGCTTCCACGTGGACATGCAGAGTCGCTGATCTGGTCAACTGCACGAAAACACGTCGCCAGTTCGTGCTAAAACCCTACAGTGGGAGTTTATTTTGGCATGCTTTTCAAACTTGGGATGATCTTCGAGTTCCTCGACGTTTACCTTGGATTGATTCTTCATGTTTTAACATACTAAATCGCAGCAAGCTTGAAATCTGCGGCATACTGTTACACTGTCAAAAGCCGGCTGTTGAAACAAACGTTTGCCTTTTTAGGTCTTTTTACAAACACTCGAGACAACTCTGCAGCAAGTCGATGTCAATGACCTTACACCACCCATCCGGAACCCAGATTTCAACTTGAAAGAAACACCGAATGTTTACCCAAAGAGATTATACTCTGCCTATTAAAAGGGTGAGGTCAAGGTATTTTTAGTAATGCTTGGCAATCCTGTTTAAACAAAAGGTCGGGAACACAATGAAAATATTTACATGCCAAGTAAAGAAAATTTAAAAAAGATCACTTCTGTACCCATCACAGACAATGTTTTCATGCAAACCGTTTTTGCAATCTGTTGTCCATTTTGTTTAGTTTTCGCCATTCAGACTTGTGCTCTTTTGCTTTGCAAATAAATCTGTTTTGTATTTTCTCCAGTTTTTTATCCATTACTATCTTGTGAAGTCCAATTCCAGTTTAAGACCAGTTATAAGTTTTTTCCGTTTCTCTACAGAGTCTAGAGTCCGAAATCTGAAAGAAAAGGGAATTTGACTAAAACACTATCCAATGTTTGCAGTTGTTTAGAAGTCATGGGTGTTTTAGTGACTACAAGATAAACAGTCAAACTGTTTTCAAATTTCTTCATAAAATAAACATGGCTTTACGCCCTTCCACTAGCCACTGTCGCGCTATTTTACGTCTGTCAGCGGGCTTGAGGTCTTTCCTATGTAAAATAAATGTTCTATTTTATTTTGTGCAGGTAACGTCATTAAAACTCACGCCCGTTGACGGACGTAAAATACTAACGCGACGGTGGAAATCCACCATTAGGGAGTGTATTGATTTATCACTTGAAGAGATCCCAAGCCAAACCTTTCCATATAGCAATGCATTTCTGTCTCTGCCACTTTTATCATCTCATTTCCAAAATCAGAAGCCATTGCTGGAGGTTCTTGGTTTTGAAATTATCGAGTAATCATACAAAAACGTGATGCCATTGATGATACATCAAGAACCCATCACCGAACTCCTGTTAAATGGCAAAAGCGACTGTCAGCCACGGGGAAAAGCTAATCTGATGAAACCATAAAACAAAAAGATTTCAAAAAGCCATCACGTGTAAATCTCAATTCAATCTCTTCAGGAGATTACATAACAGACTCACTATGTAAGATTATGATGAATGTGGCAAACATCACACTATGGCGTAATCATAACTACTAAAGCTTAAGGTTTTCCAGGACATGTCTAATTTTTCAACAATCGAAGAGGTGCCAGAGACAATTACGAAATGTTCCTTCTAAATAATTCAAAATGCGTATTCAAGAATTCTCAGCTTTTAGCTGCATGGTGCTTCCGATCCCAGCCCGTATAAAATAACAAGTTTACAAAGTAAACGGATTAGAACTCGGTCGCGCTTAAATTAAATTGCCTAATTTTGACCGTAATAATTCGGCATCAGATTCCCGGGAAAAACACTACAGTTCACGCTTCGTTAGACTTGCCGTGTAATCTCCCAAACTCTAGAAACGTAAATGAAATATTAGTATGTGTAATAAGATCATGTCTGGTTTCGTTTGAGCAATAATTGGATGAGAAAATTCCAAGGGGTCGGGAAGACCATAGCCAAAATGACGGCCGCTTCTTTACGTTTTCGAAGCGTCTGTGAAGAGGATTTAGATAAAGTTTTGAACGACTAGTGGATTTATACTAAAACAATTAGATTATTCGCTCTCGATTTCTTTGCGTGATAGAAATCTCGAGCTCATAATCTAATTGTTACTTTCAGGGCTGAATATTACGTAAACATGTTACGGGTTTACTCATTTGTGCACGGGACCATCCAGAAATCGGATAACAGCTTGAAAGGGTACGAGTGAGCTAAACAAAAGAACAAAGGACTCAAACGGATTTGTGTCGGCCCGGCGGTGGAAATCATCCTGGCTAAGTCTTTAATTCCGAGTCGATAACTTTGTGGTGGGTTCTTTGGGGTCATCAAATTTGATCCACATTTTGCACGAGGCTCCAAATCTAAATATGCCAGACAATAAATAACGACAAGGGATTATCAAGAATAAACTCTTGATATCGAAAACAGATTGAATAGGAATTTGTTACGCCGTTTTGAAAACGCGTTTCTTGTTTTCATCACATTAATATTTTCTCGTGACCTTCGGTATCTTTGGCATTGAAAACTTTGAGGTGTTGTTGGAATATTTTAAATTGCTATTTCGCGACGGATGTTTTGCAAGATTCCTCGAGAGGTCCTATGCTACAACATACCTATAACACTAAATCCAAATTTCATTATTCCATTTTGAACATGAAGATGATTAACACAGCATGGAAACGCATTACAATCTGGAGACCAGTAGCTCGGGTTCCCTTGGAATCTGCCAGAAATTGTGTTGCAACACATAATTCCTTAGATTAGTTTATATAAGCTAGCCCACAGAAAGCGGATACGCGCCCTGGGGAGCGGAAAGACACGTTTATGTTCCTAAGTAGACAACATATGTCCGGTTGTTTAGGTTTAGTTAACGAAACACCTATGACCTCGAAACAACTGGAAACAGTTGTCTATGAACAGTACTTACACAAGATTCCTCCTTCCTCCATACTTCTGACTCGTTCTTCACAGTTGTCGAGATTTCACCGGCAGAAGAGACCAAAATCTGTCATGTTGAAGCTCATAGTTAAAGGCATCAGACCAGTACGATGATAGCGTGATCAGGCAGAGTATGATGAGTGCAAGTTGATATCGTGGCTTACAACAGTGTCTAAGAAAATTATGGTAAATTTAACTTATGGTATAAAGGGACAGCTGTATGCATAGATCATAAAAAAAAAAAACATCAAAGAAAGCGGGCTACAGTTATACATCAAGGTTTGCATTTTTTTTCCCTCTTCTTTCCAAGACATTATTGGATAAATATTTTATAAACAAATTGCCGCACACTGCCGTTAATATCATCGTGTGGGTAGTTTCACATAAAAAAATCCTTAGCATTAGTCTGTTTCCCTGTGTGAGCTAGTTGTGTGTCCCGTTCATTTCCTTTTCTTCGATCACCAACTGTGAACAGGAACCCTCCAACTAAGCCACTGAGCTGCTATAGTTATTCTGGGTGGCCTCATACAGTATTAACGGTTTTGGACGCCATTCATTAAAATTGAGTGTATTGTTTAAGTGGCAACAATTGTTCGTAAGAGCCTCGTGAACGTCAAGCTTAAGCCGAGAGCAAATTAGTCACGTGATCATAGCTTAAAAGCGCCAAGAGCAAGGTGACGCGTTTATTGACGAACATTCATTTCTTTACAACGAGCCACTGGCGCCATGAACAATCAGTCTTCGTTAAAAATAATATTTGTCTATACCAATGACCCAGCATCAATCAATAAACACAGCAAGCACATTGCGGAACAATCACTGAACGGTGTGAAAACAAGGTTAGAAGAGTTCGTCCAAACCCGGCATTGTAGACACATCGCCTGCGGCTGACAGTGAAGGTTTGCCAGAAAACACACGTTTGGCGACCTGCAATGACGACATCGACGATTAACAATAAGCCGATCTTTGAAACCTCTGGTCACTGTGGGTGGGGTGGGTGGGGTGAGATGGTCAATGGACTGGTCAGAAATGGATCAAAGCTCGCGCATAAAGGACGGCGCACACTTAGGGACATGGATTGCGGTGATATATTGCGGGGACAACCACCTCCCTGTGTACGTACAGGGCACATGCACCGGGGACAGCACGCAAGCTGGTGCATACGAAGCGAATATTGGTTCATTTCTGTGTTGCAGCGGAGACAGTGTGCCAGAGCAGTGCACACGATGCGACATTGAAAACTGAGGTCATTTTGTCCCTCCTAAAAACGCAAAAAATAAAGTTTCCAAAGCAGAAAAACATCAGAGAGAGAGAGAGAGAGAGAGAGAGAGAGAGAGAGAAATAAAAACAAAACCAAGCAGGGATACTTAAAATTGGTAAGACTGAGACTGATTACCAAAGACGACCTTGAAAACTCAGTTTAGACTAAATAAATTTGTAAAGTTTACTCGTAAATTACCTCCTTTAAACTTTCTAAATTAACAGTTTCGAAGTTGCTGTTTAAAATGGACGTTCTCCCCATGTAACAACTTCTTACACGCGGAATATCTCATTTCAAATGAAGTATTTCTTACCGTCAAGACATCGGTCTTGGTAATAGAATCAACAGCCGTGGCGGCTTCTAGAGGTGATGTGTAACTTCCCTTGGTTGATATCTAATGAGAAAAATCAAAGAGCGACGTGTACAATATCTTTTCGTTTAGGCAGCAGGGATGGTACCCTGGGTACCGGAGGTTTTTCTCTCACGCGCGGTGGCGCAGTGGTTAGAGCACTCGCGTCGGGACCAAGACTCTTGGGCCCGGCGTCATAAGTGAGTTGAGTTTGCTATTGGTTCTCATCCTTGCTCCGAGGGTTTTTCTCCGGGTTCTCCGGGTTCTCCGGTTTTCTCCGTCCACAAAAGCTAACATTTTTAAATTTCAATTCGATCTGGAAAGAGTGGACGAAGAGTCTCTCCGTGGAATGTGCCACTGCAACTTCCTATCATTTTTTTTAAAGATTTTTCTTCAAACGGTACTTTTGTAATGCTAGGTTTTTAGGCCACTTTACGACACAACTGCATTCCAAGAGGTAAAAAAACTCACCTGAAAGCCAATGTCCTCAAACATCGTATCCTGACTTTCACTGTTCATAAGAAGATGCGCTTTCATCTGATTTCTAAGGTAAAATTAACAACAGCGTAAGTATCTCATTCCAGGGGCCTGTTTCTCGAAAGTCCCGGAAAAGTTTCGGGCCCCCAAAGCCATTTTTAGTTAATTAATCTGTATCTAAAAACAGAGAAATGTAAACGCCTGAAACTTCGTTTATGAAGAGAGCCTCTGTTCATATTAAGAATATGGGAATAAAACAGCTCTGTAATCTAAAACAAAATCTAAACAAAATCATTCCATCAGGCTTATATTCTTTGCAAGAACTTTTGGTGACCAGACCGAAAACACACTCCTCTTGCTAAACTTACGAGATGTTCTCACAGTAAATAATGTTTATAGACTACTAAGTGCGTACCAATTCTGGTAAACAAACAATTGCTTATACGGCGACTATTCTCTGGGACAATATCCCTACTCATCTTAAAGACCTCAATACCTTCAACTTCTCGAAACATCTGAAACTTTATTTACTGTCTGAACAACATTCCGAAAACAAGTAATATTTCTATATGCTCCTTTTTTCCAATTTTATGTACATATCTCATTCTCTTAATAGCTTTTCTTCTCTTAAATCTCCATAGAAACATAATAACTGGAGGCTGACTAGAAAACCATTGGTTACTTCAGTCTCCAGACTCAAACAGTACACTATTTTCTTTGTCTTTAAATTTCACTGATATGAAAACAAAAAAGTAAATAAAGTTATTGTTGTTGTTGCTGTAATCATAAGGTTTGAGATTTTGCTACAGCTTTTCGGTGCGAAAACCTTTCGGAACCTTCGATAAACGGGCCCCAGGGCAGAAAGCCTACCATCACAGCAAAACCAATCCCAAAAACATTTTAAAAGGACACTCTTTCACAGTGCACGTGGAGAGTTTCAATAGCTCTCTGCTGATATTTGTTTCCACGCAGACTCACTTTGCTCGTGTGATGTCCTGATCAGAGATGTCTCCCTTTGAAGCTTTGGAAAACTGGCCAACTACAGACTTCATTACCTGCAGGAGATAATTATTTATAAATTATGCTGTCGTAAAGCTTACGGAACACACCTTACTAAAAATCTCCAAGTCTGGTATTAATCTGAAATCAATATGTTCTATCCGTTGTATAATTATAACAATGCATAAATACTATGCAAGCTAATGAAAGCTACTGGAAGACACAACAATCTGCAACCTTTTCAAAATTTGTAACAAATGCACACAAGTCATTCCAGCTGACTCAAGTCTTATCAAGAAAAGACAACAGTTTAGAGGCAGGGCACAGTAGGCCACTATGCCCTCCACAGGCGTAGGGCTTGGGGGCGGGGCGAGGAGGAGGAGGAGGAGGAGGACGTTGCAGACCCCGAGTTTCGGAAATTGTGACAGCACTTGCGAGTAAGCATTCCAAAAGGTCTCGAGGCTTGTAGGCTGACGCATCGGTTAAATGTGTATCGTGGAAATCCACGATATGGATATTACCTGTATTTCCATTCCAAATTTCCCATCAACAAAACGACAAAAGAATCTAAGCGAACGAAGACCAAGACGTTTTTGTGGTGGCCTTGACAAGAACCGTTTTTACCTTTTTATTGAAGTTTTCGTAGGAGCAATAAATAACTTTTTCTTTTATAAGTTTTCCGATATTATTGGGCTGTCGATCGAGGTCATACAGTATGCGAGGTTCAAAATAACCATTTTGTAATTACAACAGTTTTATTAGACGTGAGAATTGTGAACGTTTGCTTTTACTGCAATTTAAGTGCGTTTGTATCCCGATTTCAACACTCACTTATTTGGGCACTGTGTATTTTTTTTCATTCAAGAAGGTCAAGCAACCTGTATGTCCACGGTGCTTTTCAACAATCACCATTTGGTCTCCAGTTTATCTTTAGACTTCAGGTCGTAGTTTTTTAAAGGGTGGATAACATTATTCACCGCATAAATGGCTGTCCAGTGGATGTGTTGATAAGAAAAACCCACACTATCCACTGGGTAGTAATTCGTTGGATGGACCGCAAAATGTATCCTTGAACAACTGGGGCCAGATGCATTTAAGATTCACATATCAGTAAGAGAGTTCAAATACCTTGGCTACATTTGAAGGTTCTGCAACAACATAAAATCCAAAAAGACCACCATCTGAATAGCTTGCATTAAAAGCTGATGCCTAAAATTCAAAATAAAAACACTGTTACCGAGCAAACGTGTTGTCTCCAAAGCAGTAGTTTGTCACACAACTTTTCTTAAGAGGAAAGATTGTGTGACAAGCCTTAGAACTTCCGTCTGCATAGCGGGCTAATAAATTTGGTCTTTCCATTTACTCTTGCTAATAAAAATGTTACAACTGACACTGAACTTACTGAGAAGGCTCCACCAGCAGATTCAGCGGCAGCCTTAAATAGCCTGGAAATTAAAATGAACAATTTCACTGTCAGCAACAAAGTCACACCACTGAAGTTTTATGTTGTAACGTCAGTGAAGTGAGATATTTTGAGTTGTAAACATCATAATCTTTACTTGGAGGTATAATTTATATTAGTATGTAGCCTAGAAGTGTTTCACAACAGCAAAGTTTGCAAAATATAATAAAGAATAGATCTTTAAAAAAAAAAAATCAGTAATGTGTAGTTCCAGAAAACATCCATACCTCCCCCACGGAAAGGATTTTTTCTAAGACCCCCCCTCTCCCCTCTGGAAATTCCTATAAAGCTTCACACATTTCTTTAAATTTTTTGGTCTCACAGAACCTCCCACCCCCCAGGAAATTCCAATCCCTTCTGTGGGGGAGTATGGATATTTTCTGGACCTGCACAATATAGAATTAGGAACATCCGTAAATTAAAGATTAGCACTAATAATTTTGATACAAAAACTACTGGCTGGTTAGGGAGAACATAGATANATATAGAATTAGGAACATCCGTAAATTAAAGATTAGCACTAATAATTTTGATACAAAAACTACTGGCTGGTTAGGGAGAACATAGATATCAGTACTTCACACAGTTTTTACTTTTTGTGGGGGGGGGGGGGGGGGGGGGGGGGACATCTCTATAAAGTCTCTCTTCTTTAAATCCTTGATTTCAAAATGTCAAAGTTTTCAATTTTCACCCAAAAAATTGATGTAAGTGTCTTACAACAACAACAATCTTTATTTGTACCCTCTCTTGTCTTCTAATTACAGAAAATATAGATAATAAAATTAGGGTATTTGAAAAATAGTTAAGAAACAAGTAACACCAGAGCTCCATAGCTTTCATCAGAATGGACACACTTGACAAATTCATGCACAAATTATATAAACAATGTAAGAAAGTAGAGCCATCTTAACATGAGCAATTTCCTTCAACAGTGACCATGAATGACACTTTACATACAGCTGTTTCAAGGAAGGTTGTCCTACAAAAGTGTAAAAGCACATGCGACAATGCCAAAAAGTACTATGGGTAATGGTGGCCAGAGATTGCTTGATTGAAGCTAAAGGCATTTTATCATTACAGAAGGAAACACCACAAACATGTGTATTTACAAATGTATGCTTCTCCTTCCTGAAACACAGTTAACTTCAATCAAGGAACATCAGACTGTTACTACCCATAATATCAATCCGCATTGTCCCGCTCACTTTTACGCTTGTGTGGGACAACCCTTGTTGAAACAGCTATATACCAGGTACCTGTTTGATGCCATGTTGCTTCCCCACTTGATGTAAGGTGTTGCACCAAGAAGTTTCTGTAAATTGGTAACAATAAATTTAATCCATAAACATCAGCTTTCCAATCTTAAAAGGCAGTTCCTCTTTCTGCTAACTTCTTTAAAATTAAAACAGGAGTGTTTTAATAAGTTTCCTCACTCACTCAGAGTGATATTATTGCTCTGGCACATAGCGCAAGAAAGACTTCTAAAGACTTGCTACTCTGTGATCTAACTGAACACAGACATTGCATCAATTATGTGAACCAGTTACAGTGTATGAAGCTCAGTCAATGGAAAACTACAAGTATGTTATGTAAGAATACCACAACTAAAACCAAGATTAATAAACAAACCACTGTTACTAATTTTGGTGCACTTTGACTATCTGTTGATTAGGGCTCAAGAGAGGTTTAGTTACAATGTTTTGCTGTTAAAACTCTCCTGTTGTCAGGGGGATTAGGTTCCAATTAAGAAACATGCTATGTTAGGTAACTATGGAGTATGGGCAAAGTGGTGACAGTTAATTAATTTTGAGCTGATAACTGATTCAGTTTCTTGATGCAAATAATGAGAGGCATTTTTCCTGGAGACAAGCAATGTTTTCATATTGTATGACAGAGTTTCAGTGACAACCTTTTTGCATACATCCTTTATATCACAAATGACTGATAACCATGTGTAAAAGGGATGAGCAAGGAAGTATGTTTTTACGTCTTACAAAGATTTGATATCATAGTACAAACAAGCAAATTAATCCTCACCTGATAAACAGAGAATGTAAGAAGATCTTTGCTTCCTAAGCTGAAAAAGTCAATAGGTCTGAGGTAAGCTTGTTTGTTGTTTTCTTCCTATCGTTTTTCTCCTTTTTTGTCAATAATAAAATCGTAAGCTTTGTCAAAAACTACCGCAGAACCCCAGAGGACATCTAAGCCCAAACACCAATCAATGGGCTTACATGTAGTATTTTCACAATCCACACTATTGCACCAGCCCACATTTAGAACAAATCATGTTTGGGAATGCACCAGGCTGTATGGCTGGGATTAGAGAAGTGCTGAATGCCTCATCATTCTAGGAGGTCTACTAATAGGCTTACCCAGAAAATTGATAGCAAACTTTAAGCATCCAAGTGTGTTTTCTGTGGTTCTAATGTCATATTTATTGAAAAATTTCAAAATTTGCCAAAACAAAAGAGAAACAATAATTTTCTCCACAGTGAGTGGCTAAAAGCCAGGGAAACTGACATAAACAGTTACTTACCTAGCTCCCTCTGTTGCCAGAACTGCATGAACAAGAGGGCCAGCCCTAAAATTCATCACCTCTCCTGCATTCAAAAAAGATTTTACAAAAAAAGTCAGTATGGTTTTGAATCATCGCTTTCTCATTAGCAGCCAATAAGCGAAAAAACTGCCAACTTTAGATAAACAAGGAAATAAAAGGAGCTAGATAAGATACATGCATGTACAACTGAAAAATCATGATCATCAAAATTGTCAACATTGTCTCTGTAAAATGACTCCAATTAGCCTTGAATACTTTAAGGTAGAAAACTTTAACCTACCGAAAGACCTTTCTGTGTCTTCTTGGATAGAAACTTTCACTCTAACAGTGACTTAAAGCTCTATCCAGGGATACAAAAGTGGATACTGACAACCACACTTTAATTTGTTGGTACACCCAAAAACTGTTCTTGGGGAAACCTTTCAGACATGCTGGGGGAAAACTATGTGGATATACAATGTAAATCAAACTCATTAGTGGATTCTAACTCAGTTGGTAGATCACCACCACAGGATTGGATCTTGTAGAAGGCACAGTTAAAATGTATAGTATTTCTCTGGAATATCTTTACTCCATAAGTTCACAGAAATTGACTATGCATTACCTCCATGGTACTTTGAAGCTTCTTTAGCAGCAGCTTCACCCTTTGGCAGAAAGGAGAATGCTGCTTTGGCCAAGTCTACCAGCTGGCTGTGATCAACACCTGTCCAGAAAAACAGAACCTTTTAGTTCCGTTTTCACAAACAGCTTACACACAAGCACAGTTATCGCCATGTGGCATTCTTGGGTCACAATGTGATAGACATAGACATAGACATAGACATAGACAAAGACAGACATAGACACACATAGACATAGACTTCTCAAACTCATTAATAATTCATCAAGTTAAAACAAAGGAAATTGCAACCGTGAAGGAAGTTTGGATACCCGCTCTTAATTCGCATAGATTTTGATGATTTTACTTCTCCATTTACTCTTTAGTTTTTGTTTTGATTAAGAAGATATATCAAACTCTCGAGACTGTGTTTTATCCGCTATCCAAACACCTCGAATTTCGTCAAAAATACTCTGCTGCACGTCCTATTTTCAACTCTCTTCTTGGTGTTTGGATATCCCGATGAAACACTGTCTCTCTTGTTTGATATATTACATAGATATAGACATGGACACAGACATACAAATACAGAACTATATAGAGATAGGCATAGACAGTCATAAACATTACAAAAACAAACAAC